ATTATTGTTGCTGTTGTAGATTTCCTCCTGATGGGTGTTTGGCTGTTGCTGTTGTCTAAGGCTTGTCATTGATACCAGTCCCAGACACATCATGGCCCTGGTCAATCAAGCACTTCCTCCAGGTCCCTCATTGCAGGAAGTAATGTGAGCTGAGTTTTCATGCAATTTCTACAGACACATATGTTTTCTTCTGATTGTATTGATCTTTCTGTCTGTGAGATATTCTGTGGTTATTCCGGGTGCTAATCAAAGATTTTCCTCCATTGTAATGATGAGGATGATTGTGGCAATGATTTTTATCTGCCTGTACTAAAATGTCAATCTCGTATGAAGACTAGCAAAACTTCAGATAGATTCACCACTTCCAGATGAAGACTGCCAATGCTAAGTCCTCCAGAGATGCAGAAACACTTAGAATGAGTCACTCAAAATGAAGACTGTGAGAGCCAGCACCTGACTAAGATCTTGTCTTAAAACTGATGCTGTTGGGCCTTTTAAAATCCCTGTGATTATAATTATAAATATAAATAAACTTTCATTTTTAAAAAATGTTGTTGTTGTTGTTAGATGTCATTGAGTCAAGTACAATTCATATCCTGAGTCTTGTCCTAACCTGTGCCATCCTCCTCATCTCTGGTAACCCTTGAGTCAATTGCTGTAGTAATGGTGTTGATATATCTCATTGAAGGTCTTCCTCTCTTTCACTGACCCTTCACCTTTCTGAGAAATAGGCTCTTCTAGAAATATATCCAAAATATGAGAAGAAGTTTTGTCATGCTTGCCTCCAAAGAGCACTCTGGCTACCCTTTCTCCAAGGTAGACATTGCTAAGTGGGATTTTGTTGTTGTTGTTTTTCTTCCTCAAAAATTTAAACAATATTATGGAAATATGACCCATAATTCCATTCCAGATGTATATCCAATAGAATTGAAAGCAAGTACTCAAACTTTTAAAACAGTGCTCATAGTGATACTATTAACAATAACCAGAAGGTGTAAACTTCTCAAGCCTTTCATTATAAAAATAATTTATCTAATAAATAAAAGAAAATGAGAGGTGTATAATAACAATAACCAACCACACTGCTAACATTACAAAAATGTACCTACCCAGTCATTTTTCACCTTCTGATATCATGACCTTGTCAAATGGATCAAATGTGAGCCTGCCAAAGCCTCTAGATTTTATAAAACTAAGTCTATGCAAACTGACTTGAACTTGGAGGTTCTTGAATCCCATGTTAAAGTGTAAATTTCTTGGAAACATCTTTTAAATTTATGATTTAATAATATATAATCAATCTCTGGAGATTTTTTGAGCATTTTAAGATAATATACTTGTTCTTGATAATTTCTTTATATGGCATCTCAATATATTAGACTTATGCACAACATACAGTTAGATGGGGTAAAGCCCTTTTCAACTAATTTATGTACTTTTCAATGCAAACTGTATCAATAGATCACCTCTACTACAGCCTTCAATATAGATTGAAGTTCAACATCAAGAAAACAAATATTCTCACCACTGGGCCAATTGGCAGCATCATTATGGATGGTAGGAGATTGAGATTGTTAAGTTTTAGTTTACTTGGCTCCACATCAACACTCTTGGTACCAGCAGCTAGGAAATCAAGAGACAAATTGCATTGAGAAAGTCAGCTATCAGAGATCTTTCTAGAGTACTGAAGAGCAATGATGTCAGTCTGGAGACTAAAGTGTACCTGATCCAGGCCATAGTCTTTGTAATTACTTGCTATGTATCAGAAAGCTGAACAATGACTGATATCATGGCCTTGTCAAATGGATCAAATGTGAGCCTGCCAAAGCCTCTACTTCAATCTATTGTTATGTGCCATCAAGCTGAAACCAACTCATAGCTGACTCTTCAGTGTGTTTTCAAGAGATTAGATAGAAAATTGATGCCTTTGAGCTATGGTGCTGGAGAAGAGTATTGAATATACATACCATGGAATGCTAGGAGAACAAACAGGTTTATCCTGGAGAGGATGAAACCAGGCTGCTCTTTGGAGGCAAGGATTCTGAAGCTTTGTCTGACATACTTTGGACAAGCTACAAGGAGGGACTGGTCCTTGGAGAGGGACATCATGTTTGGGAGGGTGGAGGGCCAAGGCAAGAGAGGAAGACCCTCCATGAGATGAATCAATTCAGTAACTGGGGTAATAGGGGTAAGTGTGTCAGAGACAGTAAGGTTTACAGGCTAGAGAAGGGTTTAGGGCTCTTGTAAGTAGGGTCACTATGACTCACAAGGGACTCGACAGCACGTAACAACAACAGCATTCTTCTTTTTTAAATATTATGTATATAAGGTATTAACATTTAAAAGAAACTATTACTTTTTTCTTAGTTGATATTTTCAAAGTCAGGTCTAAAATTACCATGAAATAATTATCTTTCAGTTTTTAGGTAAATGTCAGTATCTTTTGTAGCCAGGAGAGGGCACTGCAGAGCAGTGTAACTGAATCTCTTGTCTCCAGCACTGTTGGAGAATGTTCTTTATTGCAAGAAATATGCAAAGCTTTAGTAAGGAATTTAGAACTTAATTTTATTCAAGAATGTAGAAAATGAAAATTCTATATGCCTTCAGTAATCTAAATGTTGTTCTCAAGTTGAAAAAAAAAAAACATTTTCCCAACTAAGCATATTATTTTCTGTTTCAGCTACTCAGATGCAGAAGCAGGTGAAATGTGGTTGAATTTAGACCACCATTTTTCACTGAGGAAAAATGACTACGGCGATGTGTTATGTCTAGTGTAATCTCTCATCCTTCATATTACCCTTTCAAGACGAAATATGGGTTATGCGGCCTGCTGTGCTCTCCACTAACTAGGTGTCTCTGTCACCAGGCTGTGTGAACACTTAGTGTCAGATCATAAACTGCCATGAAAGTTTCCTTTAGCTGAGTCTTCTGTGTAACAGTGACTCCAAGGAACACTTCTTAGAGCTTGCTTTATCCTCTCACGGTAAATCAATACCAAAAGCATCACCCTTTCAGAGGGGAAGGAAGAATATTAAGAACGTTTCTTAATACATTTTAAGTAACCTTTGTTCAGTACTCTGGAAAAAATACACTCTGAAAAATGACACCCACTCTTTCTTCCTTGGCATATGTAAATTAATCTTCCTAAGATTTCTCTGCAATCATGAAACTACTTCAATCTATTGTTATGTGCCATCAAGCTGAAACCAACTCATAGCTGACTCTTCAGTGTGTTTTCAAGAGATTATAAATCATGCAGGAGGAGATTGCCTATCTTCATCCCAAGAAGCGGTTGGTGGATTTGAACCTGGTGCCTTCAAGTTGAAAGTGCAACTCCTTACCATGTTGGGACCTTTCCTCAGTGGATGAAATTGACAATATGTTCAACGAGCTTGACTTTTGTTAGATATCTGTAATGATATATGAAAATTATTATCATCAAGGAATTCAGTTTTGGCCTAGTGGCAAGAAGCTGTGCTGCAATCCCAAAGGTGCATGGTTTGAGGTCACCAGCTACTCTGCTGGAGAAGGATGGGCAATCTTCTCCAGTGTGATTAACTGCTTCTGAAAAATAACTGGAGGGTCTGCTGTGGGTTGGTTCCTACTCAACGGTACACAACAACAATACAACAGGCATTCAGTTAGAGTTGAAAAGTCTGATGAATTGTTATTCTTTCTCAGCTGGGGTCATATGAGTGTATTTGGCCACATTACAGCATTTTGTATATAGTTTTGTTTAAGATGGGAGCTCTGTGACTTTGCATCTTAAGCTGTCTAACTTGTTTTAAAAGTGGAATTGTCCTCTCTTGCTTTCTTCTCTCCTCTCCCATCATTTGAATTGCAAGATACCTAACAATACTTTCTCCACTCCATGCTTGAAGATCCACATTGTCCCCTGTTTAAATAGATACTTTACACTTCATTAACTCATCCTATGCAGTATTTTCAACTTCAATCTTCATCCAAGCTTCCTCTTTTTCATATAGAAATGTAAATTATTCTTCAACATCAGCTTTCTTCAATTAAGTCTTCAACATCTATTCCAGACATGTTTTTCCTCTCCCGATCTTATAGTCCATCTCATCATTTTTTCACCCTCCACATCATCTAAACACTTTATACTCAATGAATTGTAACTTTTACTCATTATTTCATGTGCCCTAACTTTGCCTTCTTAACTGACCAAGCTATTTAATCCTAGAAAGCAAGACGAACTCTAGTTCTTGTGTGTATGTGTCTCCACAAGTCACTAACACCATGCCAGATCTTCAATAAATCAAATCTAGTCTACTGACAGAAATGAACTGGTCATACTTCAGGCATTACCTTTACTGTAATCTCAATGCCAGAGCTACGCTTTCTAGTTAGTTGTTGTTGTTGTTAGCAACCCTTCTGTGATTCTGCTCTCCTTGCATTTACTCTCTTTGTATGCCTGTCTCTGGTGGAACAGCAACATCAAGCAGAATAGGGCTCAGTTTGAGGGATTATGTCTTTTGCTTTATTACCAATCCTTCAGGATTGTTTTTCCTAATCATTTTCCCTGGAGAAATTTTTTTAATTGCCAACTAGAAAGACACTTGGAAAGCTCATTTCATTTGTCTAAATGCCTTTAAGCAAAATAACCCCTAAACCTATTATGCAGATTAGTATTGGATTACAGGCTAAGAAATTAAAGCTGATCATAATTTGGATCAGAGAACATTTTACAAATGACAACACTAAACAATGTTAACTCCAACAGTAGATTCTTTGGAAACTAAAAAGCCTATCCAGTGAGATTATTATTAGTGACAAATAGCCAATGTTTTACTCCTGTAGCCATGTCATGTAACCTGTAAATTTGTTTGCAGGCATGTCTAATGGAAAAATTATATAAACCTAAATGACAGAATCAATGGAATGATTACACTTTAGGGGAAATCATTCATATGTCATTTTATGCTCTGTCAGCAAACTATTCCATTGCATTCCCAAACTAAAGTCATTCTCTCATTTTACAGCTTCGCAAATCTGTTTTCAGCATCAGAGCAAGGAACCTTCTGGAAAAGGAGACGGCAGTCACTAAAATCTTAAGGTAACACCTATACAGGTTGCTATAAATTTTACACACACAAGCGATATTATATTAAGTAAAAGAAAAAGATTTTCATTAAAGTTAAACTAATTTTTGGTCATCAACATAAACTTTTTGTGCTAGAAAGTAAGGCTTAGGTAGATATGATATCACAAATAATATTTTCTGTTCTAATTATATTAGTTTAATAGGATATTTTAAATTATAAGTATAAACATTTACATAAAAGTTAATAATTTACTGTATTTGCAACAATTTTTTCTTGTGATATCTAAAAAAAACACTATAGAAAAAAAGACTATCATAGAGTAAGTTCTTTAAAGTAATTATGAAATATTTTAAGAAATGTATTGAAAATAAAAAACATGCCCACCTTAGAATGCTTGTGTATGTGTGTAAGGTTTAATGCTCCTTTTTAAAATCTGACTTAAAATGCCTTTTCAGTGAGGAAAATTAAACTATCCTATTATTTATTGAAACATATTGCACAGATATATGTACATGATACAGCTGGATATTGATAACTAAAGATAAGATGGCTTAATGAATAAATGGGGCAAATTTACACAAGAAACCATCTCCTAATGTATGGTAATGGAAGGAGTTGCTCTTCTATTTCATTACTAGAAATAGTTACTGAGTATTTTCTCTACAATGTAGTATTACTCTAACTGACATAACTAACAAGGAAATAAGACTTAAGTATACATGACTGGAGATACTATTTCTTCTTTGAATAATATTTGAAATGTGCTCAGAAAACCCTAACTAATCAAGACATATTCAATGTACTCTTTATATTGGTTGATGTTCCATGCAGAGTTGAGTGTATGCTTGAGTCGCTTTTATAAGATGAGAGAATAGAAATTTCAGGGATTTGGATATTATCACTGCAAAATCAAAGAATTCTATTGAACTAGAGAAAGACTCAAATTCATAGCCTGTGTCTCAGCTTAAGTTTGCTTCTGATTGGTGATTCAATCTTGCATTAACATCAGATAATGCTGTGTGGCTGGCCTTGAACAGCAAGTGAATCATTATGCAAACTGTAACTGGCCTGGACAGGCTCTTGGCAGGGTAAACTCCTGGAGTAACTGTCAATTCCCAGAGATTTTTAAAACTGAAAAGATTGCTAGCTGGTCAAGCCCTGTAGAAGTGCAGATCCATTTATAAACTTAAACAAATGAAAATTACTTTGGTCAAGTTGATTGCAGATACATAGGACTGCCTCCTAGGCCTTCCAGGACAGTGCTGTAGTAGTCCATAGGGAGTTACAGTGCTAACTAAGCTGGTACTTCCCTGCTGGTTCAATTCTACCCCTGGCTGCACAGGGGAAAGATGTGAAATCCTCTCCCATGTGATTTACAGAGTTCAAAAACACACTAGAAAGTCAGCTATGAGTTGATTCTGACTCCACAGCAATGAGCACAAGTAAGTGAATCTTTACAAAAGCAAACCCCCACTTCCTCCTCCTTCTGAGCGGCTCATGGGTTCAAAGTATAGTCTGTTAGCAGTCAAGTTCTTGACCATTGCACACTGGCCCTCCTTGATCAGTTTAGACTAAACTGAACCTAGTGCTCTTGAGCTGATTACGATTCAACTCTCCAGTGGGTTTCTGAATTTATGAATCAAATTGGAGAATCAAATTGTGAATCAAATGGTTGTTGTTGTTAGGTGCCATCAAGTTGTAGATGACTCGTAGCGACCCTGTGAATGAAAGGCCTACGCACCGTTCATAGAGTTTCCAGAAGCAAGCCATTTCGGAAGTGGATGCTGCTCCTATTTCCAGGCTTGTTTTAGTCGGGAAGCTCCAGCCAACACTGTCCATGATGCGTACCCATTACCACGATTGGCACATTACTGTCACAGTGTTCAGCATCACAGCAACCATGAGTTACCTCTGTACAGCAATGCACAGACCAGTGTTATACCACCTAGAAGAATGTTTGACAGGAAGACAATTTGAACCAGGCCTGAGGGCCGCACATTCCAGTCATCCGACTTTGGCTTGGTAGCATAACGTTCTGTCCACTAGGCCAACGTAGCTCTCTCTCTATTGTCATTGTAATTGTTGTTAGGTGCCATCGAGTTGTAGACGATTCATAGTGACCCTGTGAACAAAAAGCCTGAGCATTGTTCATAGAGTTTCGGAGGCAAGCCATTTCGGAAGTGGATGCCGCTCCTGATTCCAGGATTCAAATGGTAGGAAGTGGAAATCACAGGAGTGGCTGGTAGATGCAAACCAATGACCAAGTAACAAACAGGAAAAAGAGCTTTGACTCAAACCAGAAGTTTCTCCTAAGGAGATTGTAGTATTCCGGGTCTGCTTTCACGCTGTGAAGGAACAGTTTTTAAAAATCTAGATGCATGCCAAGAGGAGAGGCCTTTGTCGAAGCTGTAGGCTGAATTCCTTGCCATTTACTGTTTATTTCACATCAGCAATCCAGTATGAACCAGAAAAACTCTGAGCAACTCACTACCTCCTTCCCCCATCAAGTTGCTCTCATGAATGGTCTTCACTTGGGCTGACCTTTGAAATACTCACAGATCATCTCAGCAACCAACTCATTGCCTTCGAGTCAGAACCAACCCTTAGCTGAAAGACACCTCTGTGGATTTTCCAAAGCCATAAATCATATGGTAGAAGACCACCCACATATCTTTTGTCCAGTAGCTGGCGGATTCAAACCACCCACCTTTGGTTTGGCAGTGAAACTTCCTACTGACTACGCCATCAGAGTTCCCACAGGATTTTGAAATTGTCTGGTGTGTGTTGAAACATGATTTTGTAGGTTTCAACCAGTCAGAGTTGGGTTTTGGGTTTTTTTCCCCTTGTAAATTCCTAGATTTCTGTAAACGCCATGGAGAATTCCTCTGATGGAGCAATTGGAACATACTTCCCATGTAGATATTTTCTGTTCCTTAAATAAAACTCTTTACTTTCATTTTAACTTAGATCCTGATTGGCAGTTGCCCCACCAGCCCCAAGCTTGATCACTTCCTGAGAAACTTGATAACATCTAAGCTGGTCATATCAAAGACCAGACCAGACAATGGATCTTGATAAGGGTCTGAGCTTGGAAAAAACCTAGTTTAAATAACATGTCAAATTCTGAAAGAAATACCATCTTAGTCCTCCCCAGGACTCCTATAAAAAGGAAACTCCCCAAACTGCCTGTGCACCATTTTTGATCCTGTCTGCATGCCATGCTGCTGGGTCATTTGGCATCCCTCTCAGACTGGGTCTGTTCGTTTCTTGGGAGCAGTTCATTTCTTTATTTCTCTCCCTTGCACTCTCACACTCTTTTTTAAACCTAACAGAAACAATACTACTTTTTTACCTCTCTAGTTGTCTAGCTAGGAGAAAATATGCCCAAGACCTTTTAGGGGACAGACAGGCATGGAGAGAACCCTGGTGATGCAGCAGTTAAAGCAATCATCTGTGGACAGAAAGGTTGGTGGTTATAACTCATCAGCAGCTCAGCAGGACAAAGATCAAGTGGACTTCTGTAAAGATTTACAAGCGTGGAAATTCCAAGGAGGGTAGTTCTCCTTTGTCCTGCAGCACCCCTAAGGGTCAGAATCAACTCAAGGCCACTAGATAAACAGTCCTGGATTCCTCCATTTCCATGGGAATGCGCTGTTTCCTAAAATTGATCTACTAGTTACCCTTTCCCAACTTCCTTTTTATATTTACCTTTCTGTTATTTATATAAGGTGGAACTGTCAGCTACCTAGAAAGTAACTGTGGTGTATATTATTAGTCTGTATGTAGAGCTCATATGGCTGCCAAAAGAAGTAACTATTCCAAAGTGACCTTCTCCGGAGACTCCACCAGGCGAGTAGCACCTGGTCCCTATCTAAGTGATAACTTTTTGGAAAAACTTCTTCCGAAAATTCACCATCCTTTTGTTAGGACTTAGAAATAACAAAGCTGATGCAGCGGGACGTGTTGACACATTATTTGAATTGGAAGGCTTCTTTGGATATTATGCTTCACGGATTCATTTGGGAATGCAATCTTAATATGGTGGACAATGTCATAAGATTGAATAGATTGAACTGACAGGACTTCAGTATCTTCTCTAAAAGTTGTTAAAACATGGATGAATAATAATGAAATTAAATGGTGAACTCAAATGCCATGCCTCTCTGGAAGGTTAAATCCCCTCACAGTCTTTCAGGAGGAAGTTGGGCAACCTCACATGTATTTTAGGCCTTGGTTCCAATCTTGAGTTTGTTGAGTTTATATCCATTGCAACTAATGCTATGAAAAGAAAATTTAGATGTTAATTAAAAAAAAATATAGAAGGCATGTGGTTTATTTTTTTTTTAAGAAATAAAATATATGAGACACATGAGCAGATTATTTGAAGACTCTTACAGAACATGCACCCTCTCAGGCTTGTCCACCTATAGCACAGTTTGGGGATACATCCCAGCACATTGCAAAATCAGAGAACTTATTGAGACTACCTGAGCTAGGCCTATCTTGTAAATATCCAGAAAAAAAGAGTCTATGATTAGAAAATAAGTTTAATATACTATACTTTTATTACTTACTCACCTCCTGCTTCTCAATGAGAAGGAAACTAAGTCTATTAAGTAAAACAGCTACAAAAGGTAAGTGTGTTAGAGGACTAAGCTCCAAGACAACAAGCCTCAGCTGGACTTCTCTCCTTTTCAAAGAAGATGCATCTATTGAAAGACTGAATCTCCACCCTCCTCTTTTAGACATCTCCTTTCAAAGTGCAGATGGTCCTGAGAGAGGTCATTTCTAGGTTCTCAAGGAATTTAATTAACAAAGGGCAGGGCCTCAGGAAAGAAGTCTCCTTAAAGGGCAAAGATTGAGAGAGCTTTGGTGGAAATTTTCTTTCTACTTTTTTCATTCTGTGTAGTATTATTTAAACCAGCTGCCCTGAGGCTTATGTAATAAAAGTATAGGAAGAATGAAAAAGACTGAGTGGAATAATTTCCACAAAAATCACTGGTATTTGTCT